TCTCCTTTACAATTCTGTACCGGATAGTTCTCTGTTTCCGATCTCAGAGGGAGCTTGTTGCGGGGTTGGACCCGAGGGGAAGGACCATCGGACTGCGGCCATCGCTTTTGCGCCATCGCTTTCTGGCGTTTACAGCGTCAGTAGCGCAGCGTTCCAGGACCTGAATCCTTTGTTTTCCTCAGCAGATGGCCAGAGACCGGACATACACACTTTGGACCTCAGCAACCCGTTTGACCAAGGCCGCCTGATCAGCGGGAGCTGCTGCCATCTAGGGCCGGGAGCCCCTTCCTCACCCCAGGATAAACAGTACCGGATGTACCCATGGATGCGGGCATCAGGTATGTTCTACCCTAAAACCACATGACCTTAGACACAATGTGATACTTAGAATGGACCTTACCACTTCGATTAATATCTAGCAGCTCATTCCTGTTGCATGGAACGAATCGTAAAACTTTTATTGCGCAACTAATGAGTTCTGCAGCCATAAATTCATTTGGAAAAGCTCCTGTGTATTCACTATAGGCAGAGACCTTGCCGCTGGGGCTTTTTCCTTTGCACTCCTATTACTCTTACAGCCTTTTCTCCCCCACTATGGCTGTAAAAAAAAAAAAAAGCTAGGCCTGTGGTGTAAATCAGCTCCCCTGCACTCTGCAGCTTCTTTCTAATTGAGTCTGTGCCGCAGAGACTCTGCTCCTCTCTGAAAAACCGGATCGATATGAATCACAAATATATCTCAGATAGATTTAGAGCACAATGAAGCTTTGTTTTGTATTTTTCATGCCAAATAAAACTAGCGTGACTGTGATTTGGTTGAATGGCTTTTTTTGTTTGAAGGCTTGCAGGCTTGCAGACTTTTTAAAATGAAAAGGCCAATAGAGGTTCGGATTATGCAGAGGGCGCCAAGCATCCCTACAGCACTAGTTTGAAACCATCCTAGGAAAAAAAACAAAACAAAAAACACAATTGAGTATGGTAAAACCGTGCTCATTCTGGCAAATTTAAATTATTAAAACAAGAAAAAAAGAAAAGAAGCAAAGAATGAAATTGCAACTAGAAAAACGTTTTTTCTGCAGCCTCAATTAGTTTTTTCGTTTTTTTGTTTTAGTTTTTTTTGACAGTCAGAAATCATGAACATATGCATTTAATTTATTCATTCTGTTCCATATCCTCTGCAGATCCAAACCGTAGACGGGGCCGACAGACCTACTCCCAGCACCAGACCTTGGAGCTGGAGAAGGAGTTCCACTTTAACCGGTACCTGACCCGCAGGCGGCGGATAGAGATCGCCCACGCCCTCTGCCTCTCGGAGAGACAGATCAAAATCTGGTTCCAGAACCGCAGAATGAAGTGGAAGAAGGACAACAGGGATGAGTCCAACAGTATGGAGACAAAGCACGGAGACACTATGGCCACATCCGGAGATGGAGATCCTGACAGGACAGACCCAGGGGATCCCAATCATTAACAGACACAGATAAAACAACAGAGTCATTACTAATATCCAGGGATTCATTCTTGACTTTTCATTGGTGCATATAGGCCTTGTTGAGAGGTAAAATTATTTTGATCTTAACAGATTTAAATTTTAGATCCCCAGAAGCTACACACCTAAATAAAATTAAGAATAATGGCCGTAAAAACATATTTGCTTTATTTTTATATGCAGCTTTATAAACAGAAGTTCACACATATTACTGAATACTAATGAACTGCCATTCCTTTGAACGAAAACTACGACTATCTTTCTTTTTTAAATAAAAGTCGACAAACTTTTTTTCGTTCAATTTTTAAGTTGGAAATTATACTGCTTGGAGCATAGATGCGCCTTATGACGAGGCAGATGCGTGCTTCAGTTGTTATTACTAAGGAATAAAGCTAGTACTACTAAAATGTGTTTGCATTTCTAAAGAAACGAGCGCGCTTATGTTACCTACCTCAACTTCCCAGACATGTACACAGACAC